CAAAGATGAATACCTTGTAAACAAGATGAGCAAAATTAAAGCAGAATAAATACCCAGTTAGCAGTCTCAGAAGAGAGTGTATATCCACATGATCTTTCCTCTCTTGGCGCACCTCACGCCCCCATCACTGCTCCTCCCCGGGAAAGCAGAAGGGGATAAAGGTGACGGATGAATCTGAAAATAAACTGGGATGCTCAGTTCATTTCCTCCTCTTTGCCTCTTGGAGGTGAGTGTGCACACGGGGCGTAAAAATTCTCCCCTGCTCCTTTTCAGCACAAGTCTGGCGCACACACCCCTCGACCACGGGTCACGTGGGGAGAGCCAGGGCTGCCACCCTGTTGAGGTCCAGCATTGCCGGCGGCTGGATGGGTAAGTCTATTTAATAGTGCGATTATGGGGCTTCCCTGATGGCACAGTGGTTAAGACTCTGCCTGCCAATGCAGGGGACACAGGTTCAAGACCAGGTCTGGGAGGATCCCACATGCCACGGAGCAACTGGGCCCGTGCGCCACAACTACTGAGCCTGCGCGTCTGGAGCCCGTGCTCCGCAACAAGAGAGGCCGCGATAGTGAGAGGCCCGCGCACCGCGATGAAGAGTGGCCCCCGCTTGCCACAACTAGAGAAAGCCCTCGCACAGAAACGAAGACCCAGCACAGCAAAAACAAATTAATTAATTAATAAACTCCTACCCCCAACATCTTCTAAGAAAAAAAAAAAAACATTGTCCTGTACAATGTCTAAGGAGTGATTTCTCATACAAAGTTTTAATTTCCTACATAATGCTTCTTTCCTTTTTCCCAATTGTAAAGAGATCTGTTTAAAGGTTTTGGTGCTCAGATGGAGTAGAATATCTTCCACTCTTCACTCTGCCCACTCTCCAGGATGAGTCTGAATTCGCTTCTAACACAGCGAAGCGCTGCCGCTTCCAGTTGGCCCAGTGCTTACCCACATGTAATCCCATTTGCTCCTCAAAATATTACCGTGCGGGAAACAAATGTAACAATCCCCAGGTGGAGACAGAGGCTGGGAGAAGTTAAGGGATTTGTCTACGATCAGATCTGTCTCCTGTCCAGTCACTGGTAGAGCCAGACGAAAATACAGATCGGCCTCGTCCGGTGCTCTTTCTAAGGCACTGTCCCGACTCCGACCCTTCTCTGGGGTGTGAAGTGACAGGGGACACACCAGGGAGGTGGGGTGGCTGTCCCCACACCGCTTGGCCAACGGCTGGCCCATTGCCAATCCTCACCTATCCTGAAAATCACCCAATCGGAGTTGTGGCTTTCTATTCTAGAAAAGTGTCCTTTTTCTTCCTTTTCCCACCTGGTTAGCCATTCTCTCTTGCTTCCCTGTTTGGTTCATGAATATCTTGCCCTGCAAAAGGTCACACTTTCTCTCTCTCCTTGAGATACAATTACAAACCATGGTGCACTTGCTAACCTTACTTCTTCATAACTACAAAGCTTTCTCTATGCTCCGGGTCAACGCTGAGCCTCTCTCCTTGCAGAAGGAGTTAGGGCATTGAATGGGTGCAAAGACCGCTGGATCTCATCTACGACCACATCTCTTCTACGCTGAAAGCTGCCAGAATGTTAACACCGGAACTTTCAAAAGATTAAGGTATACATTTACATTCCATTTCAATGGTTTCTACTTTAATTCAGATATTTGTTCCTGGCTGCAATTACTAATGTGCTACCTGCTTTTTCCCCCCTTCTTCTTCTGTGGTTGTCATCAGTTAGAAAGACTGACCAAAAACTTAAGAAGAGGGTGGGGAGTGGACAAGGTAATACAGAAGAACAGTTTTGCAGAAAATAACAAAGATATATAACCCGTTATTTATTAGGAAAAATTCCATGTGGTAATGGGTTAACACTGCTCATGTTCTAAGACTATAGTAGTCTCCCTGATTTGAATTTGTATGGAGGTAACCTGTAAAAGCTGCTTTAAAAGGTCTAAAGAATGGTCTCGTTTTGATCATGTTTTGATGACTTTAGGCCAGTTCTGCATCCTTCTGCACCATATTCAGAACTCTACAGAACGTGGCCCATCTTTTGGTTTCAGTTGACTTTCAGATCCTCTTGCCAAAAAGCATGCGGCGTTGAGGGAAGTTCAAGGTCTCTGGGGTCAGACAGGCGTGGGTTTGACGCCCATAAGCAAGCCGCTTAAATTCTCTCAGCCTTAGTTTCCTCATTCATAAAACAGGGAAAACAATTCCCATCTCATAAGGCCATTAAGAACATTAAATCAAAGAATACAGGTAAGATTCCTGGTACTCAAAACCACTGGAGCTTTTACTGAGAGCCATGTAATAAACAGAGCCATGTAACGAAGCAGAATTCTCATGAGTTTCCCAAAGAATGTGTCCTAAGGCATTCATCAAAATGTTTTCCAAAAGAACCAATTATTAGTCAATATCTAAAGAAAGAGAGGAGGAGGCGGTAGGTGGAGGAGGGGGGGAGGGAGCAAATCCCATCTGTAGAACTTTCTTCCCCTTTCACATGTCACTTCACTTGTTACCTTAAACTGGAAATATTTCTTCATTACATTTAAGGCACCTCAGTTGCTGGGATTGTGTCTCATTTTCGGTCTTCCCAAAAGGAGTACAGTGCTCAGCACAGAATACGTACTTGCTCTTTTCATTCTTGATGGGCAACCACTACCAGAAAAGTTAAATCTCAGGGCTCTTACTAGTGGATGTTCTCTCTTTGCGTGGGGCTCTGCCTGTGTTTTTCATGAAGCAGATTTGTGTCAGTGGTACCTAGAAGCGGGATGGAAGGGAGACCTGAGTTTTCAAAGTAAATGGAGGAAAAGATCAGTAAGAATAAAGAAAACAATTGGGATATTTACAGGGTCAAGGTGTCACTTTAAAGATTGCTGATTATTTTCAAAGAGAGAAATGTGTGTTTGCAGTGGAAAGACCTGGCAATCACCCACGCAACTAAGTGATTAAACTCATCAACACTAATGAATGGCCAGATGCATCTAATCGAAAACACGGAGTGTCACCTATGAAGTAGTCTGGCCGAAAACGTTTCGTCTGAATCGAATTACACCTTTGAACTCCCGGTTTACAAGAAATATAGGGAATGGAGGAACAAGGTAAGTGACACCACGAGGAAATAATCAGATTAATCTAGAATGTGGAACATTCCACAAATCAACTAGCCTTGTCACTTCAAAAAGTCTATGTGGTAGAGAAAGAAAAAAGTTGAGGCACTGTTCTAGTTTAGCAAATGCTAAGAAGGCAAACAGCCAAATGCAATGTATAAATGAATCTCAACTGGCTCCTGGTTTGAAAATGTATGTAGCAGACTTCCCTGGTGGCACAGTGGTTAAGAATCTGCCTGCCAATGCAGGGGACACAGGGTAGATCCCTGGTCCGGGAAGATCCCACATGCAGCGGAGCAACTAAGCCCGTGCGCCACAACTACAGAGCCTGTGCTCTAGAGCCCGCGAGCCACAACTACTGAGCCCATGTGCCACAACTACTGAAGCCCACGCACCTAGAGCCCATGCTCAGCAACAAGAGAAGTGACCGCAATGAGAAGCCCATGCACCACAACGAAGAGTAGCCCCTGCTTACTGCAACTAGAGAAAGCCCGCGTATAGCAACGAAGACCCAACGCAGCCAATAAATTAATTAATTAATTAATTAATTAATTAAAATTACTTTAAAAAAATAAATATCAGTAATAAAATTTTTTTAAAAAGAAAATGTATATAGCTAAAAAAGACTCTGAGTGGACAATTAAGGAAATTTGAATATGGACTGGAATTTGATGACCATATGGAATGGTTATTAGCTTTCTTAGGACGTTTAAGCTCCTGAGTTATGTAAAAGAATGTCCTTATTTTCAGAAGATATGTGCTGAAGCCTAAAGGTGTCTACAATTACTTTCAAAGGGCTTAACCTCCCATCCAAAAATATATATATTTCTATACACACACACAAACTGATAAAGTAAATATGATAAAGTGAACAATCATTGAGCCTAGGTGGTGGATATACTGACGTTCATTGAACTATTGTTTCAAGTTTCCTGGATGTTTGAAAATGTGTCACAACAAATGTTAGAAAACGTGGAGGCAAAGTAACAAGCAAGCTATTCCTCTCTGCCTGAACAGAAATTTCTTTCTCTTACATTTAATAATAAAAACAAATAATAAAACTCTGGTCCTGATGCATTTGGGCCAGTTACTGGGGACTATAAATGGCTCAAACACCCTGTGTAACCGATTCTGGGGACGGCAGTCATACTGAGCAAAACGCATAGCCCTCTTCGTTGAGTATCACTCCCACTGCCCTTTCACTGTCCAAGAGAACTGCTTTTCAGAAAATAGTAATGTTTCCCCCAACATCCTGTAACTGAGGGTCTTCAAACCAACAACAAAAATCGTTTTGGATAAACTTTACAACCTGTGATGTTGCTTCTGTATAAAGATAATCTAGTCATTCGGTATCATTCAAGTTTTTTCTAAATAGCGACACAGATGATACGTAATGAATACAGATATGAAGTCAATAAAGTGTGTTTCATGTAGTCTGGGTTCTCCACTAACTCTGCTCTTGGGGGCAGGAATGAGAAGCAGCAGTGGATGAAAGTAGTAAATAACCTTATTCCACACACAGCAGTTACTTCTATTCCTTCCTGACCCTTCTAGAAGGACAGCTTTGAGAAGATAAGCTTGATAAATTCGAGCTTCTCCAAAGATAGGCAGCAACAGAGAGAAGCACCACCCCACAGTTAAAAGTTTGTATTACTTGGGAAAAGACAAGTGTGAGTCTGAAAATTAGTTCAAAGAATGCTCAACTATTTGATTCTTTCCCAAACAGAAAACACACCACACTAAGGCCAAAAAAAAAAGAAAAAGAAGATAAACTGAAGCTTAATGCATATATATAACGCCATATATTATACACAATATACAACATCCAGTAAAATGTGAAAGTGCTTCCTTTTGATTTTTGAGTGCAAGCTTATCCGAGAGGAAAGTCTTACCTAGGTACAAGGATGCATTTTCTTTCTTGACATTGTCGTCTAAGTAGGTTGGTCCCAGGGTATAAATAGGTGTGGAGCCCATTCCAATGAGAATCTGCGCGCAAACGAATAAAGCCACATAGACCCAGTGACTGTTTCCCCCCGAGTCCTTGAGGCAGGTGGGAGGCTCCGTCGTGGCCGAGGAGTTGCCATTCTGACACAGGCCGTAGTTGGCCGCCGAGGCATTCAGCTCTTGGATCTGGTAGGGGGGCGAGATGAAGTGAGGTAAAGCGAAAAGGGCGGCCCCCAGGGCAATGAGGAGTCCCCCCACGGCCAGCCACAGGGGCCGCCGCCCCCGGCCGCCAAAGTAGCTGACGAACACTACCACCACCAGGCTCCCGATGTCAAAGCAGCTGACCAGCAGCCCTGACTCGGAACTCTTCAGACTGTAGCGCCTTTCGATGGTGGTGATGACACTGCTCAGGTACCCGGAGACCATTAACGCCTGGATGAAGGTCAAAAAGCACATGCAAACCAGGAAACAACGGGAATCGGTGAGGACCACATAGAGGCACCTTCTGCCCTGGAGCATGGCCAAAGTGGAGGACACCGATATGGGTTTGCCGATTTCCACCCTGTGGTGACTTTCCACCAGCCCTGCCATCTCTGCCGAAGTAGACGGGGCGTAGGGGCTTGGGGCCCGCGGGCCAGGGCCTGGCTTCAACTCCTGATGGCCAGAGGCGGACTTGGAGTCTTCTCCGGCAGGATTCAGGTCTGGCCTGCAGGAGGCGCTGTTCAGGGCGGGTAAACTCTTGGACCTAAAGGTCTCGGGTTCGCACTTCTCTTGGACCGTTCCTACTCTGGCGCTGGCCTCCAGCTGCTCTCCCGCCTGGGGCTGCAGCCCAGTGCCTCCTTCCATGGCTCTTAGAATTCAGATTCGATCGCCGGTCGCACTCAAGGACTCCGGCCCTTTTCATCCACCGGCAGGAGGGGCCGAAGCCGGGCCCAGGCAGTCGTGCCCACCAGGGACCGGGGCTGGGGATGCGGAGCCGCGCAGTAGGGCATCCTCACCAGCAGGGAGGTGCCCAGAGCATCCTGACCGCAGACGCGGCCCCGAGGCTCCTCAGCCGCGTGCCCCGGAGGGCAGGGGTCCGCGCGGTCCTGCGATGAGCCCTTAGGGTCCACCTCGGGTTGGCAGCTCGCGGCAGGAGCCTTGCGCGTCCCGGGCGCATCCCCTCCGCCGCCGCCGCCGCTCCGCCTGCAGCCCGGAGCGCGTACGCCCAGTGCCCAGCGTGGGGGCGGTTAGCGCTGCAGCCCGCGCCGCATCCCGCCCGGCTGGCTGGGCCAGAGGCGCTCGGTCCTCAACGCCTCGGCTCGCGACACCCTCGGGCGCAAAGCTGCCAACCTGCAAAGCAGAGAGAGGGCGGTCAGCGAAGGGCGGCTGCGGCTGGGACTGGCGTCCCGGCGCCCCGGGGGACAGCGCTGGGGCACTCGGAAGGTCCCAAGTGAGACCGAGGGATGAAAGAGGAGCGAAGCCCTAGAGGAGGAGGCGGCTACAGGCTGCAGCCTCTAGTGCCGGAACAATAAGCAGCAGGCGGTCTGCAGAGACCCTCCCTCATTGTCTACCGTGGACCTGCCCCCGCCCCGCCCCTTTTGCCTTAAACAGCGCATCTGCTGTTATATGTTAATAATTATCAACCTGGCAGCTCTGACTCAGAGACAGTGTCTATTATTCTAGTGAACTAATTGCAACCTTTTGGCACTCCTACTCCATTACTCAAAATGGAAAAGGCCCAAAAGAACAAAGGAAAGTTTTTTGGTTTTGGTTTTGGTTTTGGTTTTGGTTTACAAACACTGTGCACTCCCACTCCCGATTTTTAAAAATAAAAGAAAGGGGGAAAGCTAGGTGTGTAGAAATGTGTGTACACAATTGTGCGCAGGCACGTGTGCGCGACTGGATGTGAATCCGTCTTCTCCATCAGAGACATGTATTCAAAGCCCAAGGCAACAGCAAAAAGGTCAGAGTGCTTGCCTCTTTATTCCCAACACTAAAAATAACACCCCTGCCCCCAGCCGCCGGGGAGAACTATTCAATTACAAATACCAGGAGCGTTCGAGGCTGCGGCCCACACGAAGTCCCAGCGCGCTGTGTCAAGCGAAACAGAAAATCAATTTGCATTGCGGAGAGGTGGGGAAGCCACAACCAAACAAAGAGATGCCGGCGCGTTGTCACAGCGCGCTGGGAGCCCACGGATCCGGCTTGGCACTCGCAGGCGGCCAGGGAGGTGTGCTATTTACATCCCGCGCAGCCCGCGAGCGTGGGCTCCGGGTGCGCGCACGCGCGCGCACACACACACACACACACACACACACACACACACACCGGCGTGTCTGTGTCGGAACCCCCTCGCGCGATCCGGCACCCTGCTTGAATTAAACGCGAGCCGAAAACAGGTGTGTCCCCGGGGTAAACCTGCGCCCCAAATCTCGGGGACTCCCACTCCATTCCTCCGGCCCGGGGGGATGTGCACCAGGTGGGAGAAAAGAGCCGGACTTCGCTGCATTGGGTTTCACTCTGCCGCGCGCTTTTGTGATGCTGCTGAGAAAAGAAAGGAGGAAGGGTAAGGGAGAAAGGCGGAGAGCTTGGGATCCAGGGGCGGCCGCTCCGGCGTCTCCCTCGGCTCTACTGTGCCAGCCCCGCTCCCAGATTCCCGGCCCGCCAGCCACTCACAGCCGGGGCTTCCCCGCCGCCTCCTTGCCCAGGCGCCTTCCCGGGGAACCCCACCGGCTGCCGCGCACCGAGCCGGGGAATCCCGGCAAACTCGCTCCCCGCGCCGGGGGCGCCCGAGCCCCTGCGGAGCGGGCACCCGCACCGCAGCGCAGCCTCGGAAGGGCACACAGACCCCGGCCGGCGGCTCTCGGGGCCGGCGTGGCGCCCTGGGGAACACCTCCTGCGCGCGCGCGCGCACACACACAGACACACACCACCCGCAGGAGGACAGGCCCGCCAGGGACAGCTCGCCGCGCTGCCGGGGCGCACGAGCCGCCGCTACTCACTCGTGAGTCAGCCGGTCCGTCTGTTCGGCTGAGAGTGGAACGGCGGGAGGTGGGGACCTTGGAGGTGCGAGAGTAGTTGGGAGTCCCCTCAGGAGGCAGCCTCGGTCCAGCCGCCGAGAATCAGTGAATGAAGTCTGTGACTCAGGCTGAACTCTTCCCCCCACCCCTCGACTGTCTCCCTAGCCTCTCCGGACCCTCGCGCAGACGCGCCCCGAGAGGAGCAGCAGAGGGCGCAGGCGCGCGGGCAACCGCCCAGCCCAGCCCAACCCAGCCCGAAGGCAGCGAGCCACCCGGCTGCCCATCACCTGAGAGGCGGGGGAACGCGAGGAGCCAGAGGGAGCAGGTCTCCAGAAAAGTCAGCTGCTGAGGTAGAGAGCCCACCCGGAATAAGGAAATTGTTTCTGTTCGTTTATTCTGAGCCGTGGACACCCACCATGTCTCAGAAACCATAGTAGGTTCTGGGGACCAAAGATGAACAGGACAGATCCCTGGGCTGAGGAAACCTGTGTCTTGTGGAAGACATACCCCTGTAAGTAGCCTAAAACAACGTGGTAAATTCTATACAGGGTAACACTGGAGAACCTAATATCCATTATTAACCAATTAGATCTTCATTTCCAGGCAGAAAGAAAGGCATGTGCAAAGGCACCGGGGCACGGTGCTGAAGGGAAATAGGTAGGTGAGTCGCAGGGTGATTGCAGGGGTGGGGCAGAGGGCTCACGGCAAGAGTGGCAGAGTAGGAAAGATCAGCAAGGGCTTCATAAGTCGTGTGCTGTGAGCTCTGAAGGGCCAGTGCCATTCTGACTTGGTCACCAGAAAGCTGGTTCTGGCAGTGGTGGGTGACTCTAAGCCACTCGGAGGGCATGAGACAAGTTAGGAAGCCATCTCAGTGGTGGGAGCATGGAGAGGAAGGAACTGCTTGAAGACACTGACAAGGTAGAAGTGGCCAGACTTGAAAGCTGATGTCATCTGGAGACTGAGAAAATGGGCCAATATAGGATCTCTCAAGCTTCACACTTGGGTGACTGGGTGGATGAGGTCCCAGAAAAACATAGGAAGATAAACATGATCTTAGGGGAAAGATGCTTCTCCTTTAGGTGCATTGACTTCGAAATGCCTCTGGGACATCCGAGTGTACATGTCCCATAAGCCAGTGGACATATAACACACAGGCATCCCAGATTAGGGAAGTGGATTAGGAGGCATTAGCCTGAGACAGCATGAGGTGAAGAAGGAAGATGGTGCAGGAGATCTGAGGAGAGGTAGGCTAAGGGCAGGGCCCTGGGGACACCATGATCTGAGAGCCAGAGAGGGGAACATCTAAGAAGGGAGATTAGAAGCAAGGGTCAGAGAGATCTGTGAAGAGTCAGAAAAGAGGGACTGTCTTAGAAGCCAGGGGAGCAGAAAACTTTAAGAAGGGCGTGCTCAGACGCAGGAAAGGCTGAAGAGAAGCCAAATAGGATGATAACCGAAAAGAGCCCATTAGCTGTAGCATGTGGGAGGAGACTGAAGAGCTTTGACAAAGGAAGATGGTGATCTAGCTAGGGGAGGGGCTGTTCTACCGGTGACTGCACTGACCACTGCTGCCATGCCAAAGTCACTTCAGTGGCCCCTGGCCTTCAGTGAGAGCGCTGGGTCAACTTTACAGCGTGATGAGGGAAGTGGAGAGAGATGAAGTAACTTGGTAAAGGCACATAGCTAGTCTCAGGATGATTAAAAAGTCCATGCTCCATGATACTTCATTCCCTAGGGAAGGCTAAAATAAGCTTTCAATCTGCTTTAAGAATCATTTTACTCCAAGATAGATTTTTTTTTAATTTTTGGATAGAGAAATAAGCTTCCACTAACTGTTTCTTATAGTGTTTTACGTGACAATTTTAAAGGCCCAAAGATAATAGATTATTTATTCTCTTAGGAGAGCCCATTTAATACCGGAAAGCATCATGGGATAGTGAAAAGAGTATAGAATCAACGTGAATTTTCATCCCAGCTCAATTATGGCCACGAACAATTTATTCAGTGGTTATTTATCTTGATTTCCTCATCTGTAAAATGAGGACACAATTACCTACTTGAAAGTCCCGAGAGGGTAGAATGAAATGACATAGGTGAGACATTCAGCCTGTGCCTTAGTGCATAGTATAGCCAATAAATGTTTGTGCCCTTCTCAGAGAGCCCTGGACATGAGATGTGCATATTTTGAAAATGTGCTCTGTCACATCAATCCTTCTTTTGCTAAAAAAAAAAAAAAAAAGTCCATGCTCTTACCTCTGACCCTATACTCTCTCCCTTTTAATCATATAGCAGCTTGACTTTTCGATGCATCTTGTATCTGTTAATTATCTCACTTTAGCCCAACATCCACCATATGTACAGCTGATCCTTAGAGGACAAAATAAGTCAGCTGACACCAAAGAACAGTCGGTGTGTGCCCCAAATCCACGTCGAGATAGCACTGATCCGGCAAGTACCAAACTGACCGATCAGACAGGGCAAAGACATTCATTCCTCATCCCCTGCCCCTGTCCCGTCTTCTTGAGATGCCATCAAGCCCACTGTCACTTTTCCATAAACAGGAAATATGTCTCCAGCTGCCACCCTGGCCCAGATCTTAGCTACTATGTGGCACTTCCTGTACCTGATTACTCCTCTGAGCTTATTCTGGATCCAAACAGAATCAATCTTCCTCCTATTACATCCTTGCAAGCTCTGTGGCCCATTCTCTCATTTCAGGCTCAGCCATAGACATCAGTGTTCTACAGCAAATTCAATCTGTCGCATCAGGTGCCAGCAGAGGGCTTCCTTGCTGAAAGTCAAATAATCGTGTCCCTGCCACATGCTGTTTATTCATGGTCAATTACCACAGTTACACCAGAACACAATTCTAAGAACCTATAGGTTTTTTTATTACTACTAATGGAAAGATCACGATGTATAGACAGGATACAAAAGATCCAATTAGCTACTCATACAGGAAACAAGAAGAAAATATTTAGCAACAGACATTCTTGAGCTTTCCCTTTCATAGTTAAATGTGACTTTGGAAAAGGCCAGGTGTACCTCCATCAGCCCTAATCTTCAGATTCAGAGAAAAAAAGATGGACTTACTTCATGGGATTCTGCTACCCCCATGGCTTATTTCACACGATATGAAAGAGTACAGTTGCCGAGACCAGAATACCTGCCTTGTTAGGTATGCTGGGAGAGGAAGCACATGACTATAAACTCTTCAAATTTCCAGGCATGCTGATGCTTCTTCTAAGTCACTAATCCGTCTAATTTACACATAAATTGCTTCTTTCCCAATCTTCATATAATAAGATGTAGCTTTTGGAATTACCTAGGCCA